GGGATCCCCTCCCTAGAAGCAGCCTGCCAGGGCCAGGCCTCAGTGGGCCCTGCCCACTGGGCAACCCCATCTGCCCAGCTCCCCTGGCCAGCCTAGGCCTCTCTGTGGGAGAGCTTGGCTCCCTGCTTCATTGCCATGTGGGCCTGCTCCGGGCCACCTAGGGTGGGGGGGGGGAAATTGCCCAGCCCCTTGATGAATACCTGACATGCTGCTCTGTGTCTTTTTCTAGAAGCAAGTGTCCTGAGTAAGTGGATGATATTTCTTTGACTTGCCAGCAATGCATAAAAACCCTGGGTTTCTGTTTCCTGGCATGAGTAGGTGCTGGGGAGGGAGGGAGCACTGAGTGAGTGTTTCCTAACACACATCCAAGGAGTGCCCTGCTAAGTTGACTCTGTGTGTGTGTGTGTGTGTGTGTGTGTGTGTGTGTGTGTGTAGGGCTATGACAGAGTTCTGAATGCTGCTCAGGTGACCCTGGTGGGGAGGAGGAACATCGCCATATTATAAGCCGTTTCTCCATGTTTCTGGAGGTGACTGCCTCTCTCTCGCTCTGTCTCAGGGCTTGTGAGTATGCTAGGATGTGTGGAGGATGTCACTGTGTTCCCAAAGCATATGTTTTGGCGGCACCCTGGCTCTAGTGACCTCCAGCATCTCCGAGTGAGTGGCTGATGAAGCGGGGCGCCGTGACTGTGGGCAGGTATACATCGTCCAGCCCATTACTGCCAGTGTGAATGCGGGTCTGGGGGCATCGCGATATTTCTGAGGGGTGTCAGGAGTCTCAGGGGCCTCCTCGTTTCTGGGTGTTGTAGGTGATATGAGTGCTGTTACTGACAGTGCCTCTGCCCATGAGAGGGGTTCTCTGTGTCCCAGTGAGAGATTCACCAGGGACACAGCCTATCCTTCCTGACTGGTGGCCCAGCTGGCCCTGGAGCCTAGTCACCAGGAGGGACTTCTTCCTCTCTAGGGACCCTGAAGACCGGGGCTGCAGTCCCTTAATGGCCATGGAGCAGTGAGCAAGTCCCTTAAGCTTCTCTGAGCCTCAGTTTCCTCATCTGCAAGATAGATTTACCTGACCTGTTCCCAGGGATGCTGTGAGGAAAGGAAGGGCTGTCTTTATCATCCCTTATGTGTTACAGGCATGGTACCACCAGCAGGGAGGGGAGGGGCATACTGGAGCAGAAAGGATGCTGCCTCTGCAGTCAGAGGACCCTGCTCACTTTGGGCTTCAGGCACCTCCTCTGTAAGAAGAGGACCTTGGAGCAGATGGCTCTCAGGGTCCCTTTCAGCTGGCTGGAAGCTGACCTGTCAGCCTGGTTAAGAGCCCCTCCCCAGGCTCTGGCATCCAGTGAGGGGAGAGCCAGTTCTGGGCAGGGTGACCTGGGAGAGCAAGGCGGGAAGGGCATGGAGAGCTCTGTCCCAGGCGGCAGGTGGGAAGAGAATGACCGGGAACGACCATGTGTCTCCTTCAGTCTGGGGCCTGCTGACTGATGGATCCCTAGGACTGCCTGGTGGGATCAAAATGCTCTGGCTTGGGCAGCAGAGGATCTGGGACTTTGCAAGTCCCCTAGCCCCCTGCGCCCACAAAGGTCCGCCCATCTGCCAGAAGCGGGCTCAGGCTCTCCAGAGTGCCTTCTAGCTCTACGTTCTATGAACTTCAAATCCCAGTTCCAGGACCGATTCTTTGGGGCACGGAGGGCAAGCCATTCTTGCCTCTGTGGGCCTCAGCTTCTTCACCTGCGTAATTGGGATAATAACGGGGGTTCTCCATGCCTCCCAGGGCTGCTGCTAGGTCACAAAGGACCCTTGGGGGCCTCCCCAGGACCTCTTCTCAAGCACATTGGCCTGGCCCTCGAGCACAAAGCCCCAGCTGCTTTGGCTCCCAAGGAGGAGGGGCTCCTGGTGGGCCTTGAGGTTCTCCCCCTCACTGTCTCACAGATGGGTCTCCTCTTCTCTCTGCAGCCTGGCCATGCAGAAGGTCTCCTTCCTGCACCAAGCAAGGAGAGCTTGGCCAATTGTAGCGCCCCCCAGCACTCCTGCCACCAGACCAATTCGAACCCCTGTCAGACCCCATGCCCACCAGCAGGGGTCCAGTCTTTGCCCAGATCACTGTTTGGCACTGGGATTGGGAAAATCCTCCAGGTTTTTCCCAAAGAAAAGTAGCGCATCAAAAGAGGAGGGAGGAGAGGGGGCCCAGACCGGGCAGGCTTGGGGCCTGGGGTTACCACACGCTGCAGTTTGTCAAGACAGGCTGCAAGCTCACAGAACAGTGAGGGCATGAGATTAAATTGTGATCACCTCCAAGAGGAAGCCTGGTATTTCTGTGGGCAGATGGGCCCATAGGCCAAGGAGGAGGGGGAATGGGAAAGGTGGAAGACTTCCTCCCTCGCGGCCCCTGTGTGCATATACCACCGGTGAAGATCAGCTGGTGGGCTCCGCCTTTCCGGGCTGTGCTACCCCTTCCGTGGCCCAGGATGGCCAGCGAATCTGGTCCCCAAACTGTCCATCGCCCACCTTCGCTTGGGAGGCTTCCCCCTTCTGCCCCCTCCCCTCGTTGCCCTGAGTAGGCCGAGGTAACCTGAGCAGGCCAAAGGTTCCCAGGCTCTCTTCCCCATGGAGAAATGTGACATGTTATTTCCTTTCCCTGTTCAATGAGAAGAAGAGGCCTGCTGGCCTCTCTCTCTTTCTAGCCAGCGCTACCCAGCTGGCGGGCTTCACTCACTCTGGCTCTCACTCACGCCAACACTGAGAGCTCAAGCACCTACCTGCTCCAGGTGAGGCCCTGCCTGAGCCAGTCTCGAGCCCTTCCTCTAGTGGTTCACCATCCATCTCATCTGCCTTGCCTGGCGTGGCCAGGCTGCTCTCACCGTGTGGGGAGGGAGGGAGAGAGGGCACTGTGCTGGCTGCTGAGGCAAAGCCCCTTCTGCCTCCCTAGAGCTTCAACTACCCCAGGCTGGAAGGGGGATAAATAGCAAACAACCACCATACCCAAGAATAGGGAGCAGCAGCTGTAGCCAGGAGGTACCACCCAGTGGGGGCTGGCTGAGGCTGGAGGGAGGGGGAAAGTGGCTGCCAGCAGAGCCTCGGGTCATTGGAATGGGCTACCAACAATGGGTAGGAATTCAGCCCACTGGACAGGGAGGCCTGTTCATAAAGGCCTTGGGGACAGCCTGAGCACAGGAGCTGCAGAGCGTGACCAATCTTTCCTAGGGACAGAGGAGGGTCTCCTTTGGCCAGAGCATAACGGAGTCAGTCAGAGATGGGGAGTCAAGGAAGAGAAGGAGGGGAAAGGGAGTGTGGCCTTCAGGTGTGGAGGGCCTAGGAGGCCAGGCTGGGGAAAAGTGTGGATTCCACCTTTGAGGCAATTGGGAGGCAGCACAGGGCCAACCTAGGCTTCAGATCTCACCAGAAGTAAGGAAGGGCCGTCTGGCCACGGTCCTCAAGATGGACTGGAGGGAGGAGAGAACAGAGGCAGGAAGGTCTAGTAGGAAGCGATGGCCTCCTCCCAGGGGCACGTCTTGTGGAGCGGGGATGGGCCATGTGTGGCACAGGGGAAATAAAGAAGAGGGGGGCCAGAGTTGTGGAGGGAGAGTACAAGAAGAAAGAGCCAGGAACGTACAGACCACTTCCCAGACGAGCAGAGTAGGCACCGAATCTTTGGGGAGTCTTCAAGCCAGCCAAGCAGGCAGCCAGCATTCCTGGAGGTTGCCCAGGGACCCCCTGCAGGGAACAAAGGAAGGCATAAAGCATTTCTTAAGTGCCCACTGTGTGCAAAGCACTGAGTGACCTGGGAGAAGACCACTCACATGGACGTTTTCAGCCGCAAGGCTGATGGGAAGGTCCCAAGCTCCTTAGGGTACTGTAGCAGTGAAGCAGATGGCAATGCCTCCTCTTCAATGTCATTTCTGCTGGTTTCTGATATGGAGCTGTCAGACGGGTCCAAGGACTTTGGGGCCCAGAGCCTTCTTTTTTCTTCAGCGCGGTTGTGGCTGCCTCACCTGCAGGAGCAGCCGGTTACCAGGTTTCATGTCCACGGCCAGGGAGCTGGTTGAGGGCTCTGGCTATTCCTGAGGCTCAGGGTCCTGGGCTATCCACACTGGGGACAGAGGGGAGCTAGATGGTAGTCAAGGGGCTGCTGGTGGCAGCTTGACTTGCCTGGTCCATGCTGCCAGCCCCTCTCCGTCAGGGTGCCAATGGATGCTCCAGGGACAGTGGGGCACCAGGCAGGACCCCCTCCCCAGCTTTCTATTTGCGAGAGTGGCTTGAATTAGTAACCCCACCTGAGCCTGAGCCCCAGAAGATGGATGGCTTCTAGTGTTTAGGAGGAGAGCCCCTGGATGTGGTGGTCAGTCAGGGCAGCTTAGGCTCAAAAACTTCCTACCAGTCTTTAGGAGTGGGCTGTGGGCTGAGGGGTCTTCAGGCCAAGGCTGGATGAACCATACTTGGTCAGGTGTGGTGGGGAGGGGCTCCTGGATAGTCATAGCTAGCATTTGTCTAGCAATTACTGTGTGCCAGGCACTGTGCCAAATGCTTCACAAACGTGATCTCAGACGACCCCCATTTTACAGATGGGGAAACTGAGCTAGGCAGCAGGAAAGTGCCTTGGCCCAGCTAGGGAGTGTGTGAGGCTGGAGGTCTTCCTGACCCCAGGTCCCAAGAGAAATAACGTGTTGCCTCTGAGCCGGAGCCAGGAGGAGCCTGGGCCCTGAGAGCCTCTGTGCCCTGCTTCGCTGGGGCACTCACGTCCCTGCCAAAATCCACAGTTCAGGGGACCAAAAATCAACCTCTTAGAAAGTGTATTTTTAATATTGACATCCTTTTAAATTTTTCTAACTTAATTTCTTGAGATGGATAGCCCATCGTTCCTGCCACCGAGGCAGAGAGGGAATGACTGAGCCCACAGTCTGCCAGATCGAGGTCTTTGAGGATGTCACCATGTAGAACACTGGTGAGCTCTGGGGTTGCCACGGCAGAGGGGCCCTACATCAGATCCCACTTCCTAACAGGCAGGCTGGTCTGAATGGTGCTGTAAGGGCTGCAACAAAAGAGGGAATGAAGGAACAGGAGCACCACCCTCCTTCTGTAAAGTGTGTGGCAACGTTGAGACCCTTCCAGTTGTCTCCTGCGCAGATTCCTGTGAGAAGAGTGGATGGTAGACGTGGACCCCAGCCACTACCAGGTGCCCAACCCAGAATGTCTCAGGCTCAACCAGAAGGCATTCCAATTCCCTTTGGAGGACAAAGGAGGACCACACCTCCCCCAGTGATCTATGTCAGGCTATTCTTGACAGCTTTGGGCAGAGAAAATGATGAGGAAGCAGAAGGTATGCCAGCGCCAATTCTTTATGTCCACCGGCCTCTGTCCTATCCGGAGAACCAATACGCAGCTTCTGTTGGTGCTGGCGATGGCAGAGTCAGAGTATTTGTCCAAGTGAGGCGGGGCTCCCTGGTCATCACTGACAGTCGTCGGGGACCTCGATCGATGGTCCAGGCTCAAAGATATCGCGCCCTCCCTGAAAGCATGCTGGCGGTTCTGGCTGGACTAGTAGATGGAAGACCAGGAGCGGCCGCCCATCCTCACACCCGGGCTCTCGCGGACGGCTCCTGGGAAGCGGCCAGCAGGAACGGCTGTGGAAGAGCTGGTGCTCTCCCGTGGCACCTAAGATCCCAACATCTCCCACGTGGCCTTGGACAACAGGATGGAAGAGCTGAAGATGTTCCTCCAGCCTGGATTCCCCCAAGGGCAAATTAATCGAGGCCATGGAAGGACGGGAGCCCACCCTCATACCTCCTCCCCTTGTCCTCCCCTTTCTCTTTTGCCCTTCCCCCTCCTTTTCCCTTGGTCTTCCTTTTTGGCCCTTCCCTGGCACTTCCCCTATGGCCTCGAGGCTCACTCCAACAGCCTCCACAGTGATTCAAGAAGAGCAGAAGGTTCAGTCACCCTCTCCAATTTCTCTCCCCAAACATTGTTTGAAAGTTTAACATGTGATGCCTTGCATTCCTTCCTCTAAAACTAAAAGAGCTCTCTTCCGTCACAGAAAGAAAAATAAAGAACTTCCATGGTGAAATTTTCTTGGTCCTTTTGTCTTCTTTTACGGCCTTATCCATCTCCCTGCACCCTGCTTCTCCCCTGCCACCTCCTCTTCACTTCCCACGTGCTCCCAGTCTCTGCCCCCTGCTCCCCACCAGGCTGCAGGGGACACAGCCCCCTGGGCTACAGAACTTGGGGATTTGGCTGCTCGAAGGGCTAGTTTGGGGTGGGAAACCCTGGCCCCCTGGTCTCAACTCACTGCCTCCATCTTCCTCCTTCACCAAGCCCTCCTTTCTTTCCAGCTCTCACCACATTCCAGATGGTCAGGGACCAGCGGGGGGGGGGGGGGGGGGGGGGGGGAGGGAGAGTGCCTGCCTGCCTAGGACTAAAGGAAGCACTGAGGCAACAAACTGGGGACCTGGGAAGTCTCTGGTGTGGCCACCACCCGGCCCAGGTTTGACTGCAGGCCCAGAGAATTAATCCCACTGAGTGTTTCAGGAAGCAAAACTCCCACGAGTGGAAGTCAAGATCTGGGTACCCCAGCAGCAACTGAGTGGTTTCCTGGGGAAACGTCTCAGGCCAGAACTTGCCTGGTTCTTACCCCTTTGTTCCAGGGCTAGGGCCCTGACTTGGCCGGCTGCCTGCCTCCTCTCCCGGCTGCCATGACCAGGCCTCTCCAGATTCCACATGCTCATCTCCTGCCCCAATCTCCCATCCAAATCCCAGTTCCATGATGGCAACTGTCACCTACCTTCAAAACCTTTCCCCTTGACTATTCCACCACGAGCTAAACTTCACCTGCCCTACTGAACCTGCTCTATGCTTGGCTTTCTTCACCACATTGAATCATCGTTGACTTTCCTGTCCCTCACCCTCACCCTCACCCCGATCAGGTGCCAAGCCTTGTCAGTCCCACCTGCCCTGTGTCTCCTGCCTCCAGCACCTTCTCTGTACTCAGGAGGCTGGGTGGGAGAGGGGAGACCCAGCTTGGCCCCTCCTCCGCTCCTGCCTGACTACTGCAAGGGTCTCCTAACTGCCCTCCCTCCCTCTACTCTGTCCCAGAGCCTCAGAGGGGACTCTCAGAGATGGAGAGATGGAGTGCACCTTGGAGGCCAGCGACTCCAACAGCCTCAGGTGCCAGATGAGGACACACAGGCCCAGAGAGGGAAAGATATTTACCCAGGGATTAAGAGGCCCTGGCAGGATTGGAAGCCAGACCCTCCAGATCCCAGGCCAATGTGCTCTCCACAGCATCACAGTGTGATGGGTATTTAGGCAGAGAAGAGAAGGCAGAGGTGTCTGGGTCTGGGGGTGAGCTGTCCAAGGAAGAGGAGGTGATTGGATGCTTGCGATTTGGATGGAGAAGTGTCCTGGCTTGGCTGCTTTCAAGACCTCGCTCCTCCAGAAAGCATACTGATAACCCAATGTTCCCAAAGTGGGTTTGAGAAGCCATAAAACCAAAGGACCTGGCAGTGAGCCCCTCTGAATGGAGCTCAGCCCATCCTCAGACAGACAGACAGACAGACAGACAGACAAAGCCATCTCTGGGCCTGGATGGGAAGGCTCACCAGCTTGGTAGGCACTGTGAGCTCTGAGGAGCCACTGGCATAGCTTTAGGGGCCCAAGCACTCCCCCCCCCAGCATTGAAATGAGGCACCACAGGGACTTTAGCAGAGGCTGCCAGAACGATGCTGTCCCTTGACCTACCAATTCAGTGACCTGGCACACACCTCTCATTGGAGCTGTGTTGGAGAGGAAGTCTGCTGCAAGTGTCTCTGTGCAGAGGTTTCTAGTACCAACGTTTGTGGTTCTGAGAAGCGGCAAATGCAGTCCTTCACACCTCAGTGTACCAGAGTCCTAGGGGAGAGTGGCGAAGGAGAAATGGGAGGAATGTACTGAAATCTGGGGAGACAGAGGAAAGAGGAGGAGAGGCAGAAAGTCAAGTCAGGTGAGTGTGCCCAAGACTCCCCATTGGGAGGAAGGTGTAGCATAAGTCTGGGGTCTGGGGTGGAGGGGGTGGGGTGGGATTGTCAACAGACAGGGAGGTTGGGGGGGTGTCCACAGAAGATGGGTGGGGGTTGGAGCTCCCGGACTCTGGAGGGATGTGCCAGAGCCTTTTGGGGGCACAGAGGCAGAGGAGGCTAATGCTCAGTCCAGAGGCTGCTGCTGAGGCCCTTCCAGAGCCCTGTCCAGGGTGAAGACAGGCAGCAGACTCAGCCACCAGCCTGGGGTGGGGGTCCTTACACCTTCCTATCACCCTCCTTAGGCAGAGGAGTTTTTCTTCAGGTAAGGAAGGGTTGTGAACCCAGGGCCAGGTGGGTAGATTTCTGGGGGTCTGGGAACTGGAAGGGGGGAGGGTGTGAAATGACCTGGGGAGTTCTGTGGCAGTGGCTGTTTCCTTTGGAGCCCCCGGAGTTTGGTTTAAGGCATCAAGAAACAGGATCGTGAGATGGGCTGTGTTGATTGGGTGTCACAAAGCAGCCTGTCTGCCAGAGGGGCCCATGACCCAGAAAAGGATCAGAACCCTCCTCCCCCACCCCCTCCCCCTCCCGTTAGGGCTTCCTGGCTTGGGGGCTAAAGTTCCCCCAAGCTTTTTGGCAGCCCCTGCAACCTCTACTTTTTCAAGGATCCTGTGGAGTCGGGTTGCCAGCTGCGGAAGGAGAGGGCCTGCCTGTTCCCTGTGCCCATCTGTGCCACCATTTGCCACACACTGCTTCCTTTCTGGGGAGGCTAATTGTCTCTGGGAAGCCCCTAAAACGGGATTGTGGATTTCTAGGTAACTCCCTGCCCAGTTCAGGGCTCTTTGGTTTTCACACACAAACACAAAAATGCACACACATGCACACAATACACAATCCATACAAACACACACCACATACACCACACACAAATACACGTACCACACTCACACATACGTAGAAATATACCAAACACAAATACACACATACATATACACACAACACACAAACCATACACACAATACAAATATATACAGTATACTCAGAGACAAAGACCACATGCACCCTGCACATGACACACTCACACACACACCACATAGAACACACACAAATATGCACCACTCACAAATACACATGCTACATGCACTAAAGACACTCAAACACACACACATACATATTTGCATACACACAAACCACACACGTCTTGGAAATATACGTACCACGTGTACCACACATATAGAGCACACACACAAATACACATTCATCACACTCACACACACACCACAGATACTTCACACAAACACATACACATACACATAACACTCACACTCACCGCACACACCACACTCATGCATATATACATAACACACACAACCATATACAAAACACAAATATCCACACACCACAGTCACACACACAAACCACGCTTACACTGCTCTTTCCCTGATGTCTGAAGCCCCATCAGTAGGAGAGGTGTCTGTGGGCATGACCCTGGCTGGTGCTGTTCCCACACACTCACTCTCTTTACACACACCTGAAAAGCTACCCGCGCCGTGAAAGCTCTCAGTGGGACAAAAGGCCAAAGTGGGTGAGGAAGAGAACTGTGAGACCTACTTACAAAGAGATGCTAAAGGTGGGAAGTGGGCCCCAGTGGTTCTGGCTCCGTACCTGGCTCTCAGCCAAACTGGGGTGCAGCCCTGTTAGCCTGGAGCCAGCCTCCCACTGCCCTCCCCCACACCAAGGGAGGTGTCCCAGAAGGGCAGGGCGGGTGCCAGAAGCCAGTCACTCCCAAGATGGCCTTAGAAAGCGCTGGTGATCTCCATAGTCAGGTGGGCTCTGCATTGACTGCCAGGGTTGTCTTCTCATTTAACAGAGGAGGGGGCTGAGATCCAGAGAGAACAAGGACTGATTGCCTCCAGGCCACCCACATAGCTCTGAAGTGTGGGAGCCCTGCTCGACTGAGCTCAGGTCTTCTGATGCCAAGTCCAGTGGTTGGTTTTGCACCACACCATGGTGTCTCTGAGCGGCACCATAACCTATTACAGATGACCCTCCATCTCTTCTTCTTCCCATAGCAATGAAATTTCCTCTGCCCTCTCAACTGCCTAGTCAGGATTGGCCCTGAGCTGCAGCTTCCTTACTCCTCCGTGACCTGGGGCAAGGCTCCCTATGCACAATAGGCTTCAGCTTCCCCCTCTGTAAAATGGGGCTGCTATCCTGATAATAGGGTTCTAGGCGCTCACCTCCAAGGCGGGCTCTGGTTTCCCAAAGATGCTAAGGATCAGGTGTCACTGTCAGCTGCCTGCTCTGAGTGCTGGCTGGCTGTCTGGGGGCTGGCTTGCTTGCTTGGAAGGCCAGCCATTGGCACGGTGGGCCTGCCCTACAGTAGGGAGATGAACCTCCTGGGCTGGCTGTCCCCTGGGCAGCAGGTTCTGGATGCTTGGCATCCAGCCCAGAGGAGCCTTCCGGGAAACACCTCCACTCCCTGCCCAAAGGGCTCTAGAGGAGGGAGAGCCCCAACCACTCCCCTCTTCCCTGGGCTGCCTGAGCTCCCCCTTTCCAGGCCTGGGTCCAGGTCCTTCTCTGTCCTTTGACATTCGTCTGTAGTTTGGGACAGTAGCTTTGGCTTGCACATCCTGGGGGGCCTTTTCCCAGCTAGAGTAGGGCCAGGGAACTTTGCCTTAGAATAAAGGGAAGCAAGAGAGAGTTCAGAAGAACCAACTGACCCTTCCCAGGATTCCACAGTGCGTACGGCCCCTCCATGTTTGGGTTATGTTTCTCCTGAATGCAGACACCCTGGATAAAGGTTTTCCTGCCGTCAGGGGACACAGGCTTGCTCCCCTCTCCCAGCTCTCATGCCCTCAGAGCACCCGACCACCTTCTTCGGGTCCTGCCCAGCTTCTTCTCTCTCAGGCTCTACCACTGTCTCCCCCACACCCAGGTGGTGGCCTTCTGTGTCCTGCCACCCACCTGGCTGCTTCCTTCTCCTTCCCTTGGCTCTTTTCTCAATCCTGCCTCATGGCTGAAGGCATGGAGAAAGAAGACCTCCCAAAGGTTGTCGAAAGGT